GGAACAATTGGTTTGCACAACCAAACAATTTCTGCACAAACTGTCAGAAACCGTCTCAGGGACGCTCAACTGCATGCCCGTCGTCCTCATCGGGGTCTTGACCTGACTCCAGCTCGTTGCCGTAACAGACTTGTGTGGGCAAATGCTCACATTCGATGGCATCTGGCACGTTGGAGAGGTGTGCGCTTCACGGATGAATCATGGTTCACATTGTTCAGGGCAGATGGCAGCTGAGAATGTCCCAGTTCTTGCATGGCCAGCATACTCACCGGACATGTCACCCATTGAGCATGTTCGGGATGTGCTTGACCGGCGTATACGACAGCGTGTACCAGTTCCCACGAATATCCAACAACCTCGCACAGCCATTGAAGTGGAGTGGACCAACATTCCACAGGCCACAATTGACAATCTGATAGACTCCATGCGACGATGTGTTGCACTGCATGAGGCAAATGGTGGTCACACCAGATACTGACCGGTTCTGGGTCCCCAGACCCCCAATAGCGCAAAAAACTGCACATTCCAGGGTGGCCTTTTGTTGTGGGCAGTCTGAGGTACACCTGTGCACTACTCATGATGTCAGATCAGCATCCTGATGTGGCACACCTGTGAGGTGGGATGGATTATCTCAATATAGCAGATGTGCCCACTACCACACATTTGGACTGATTTGTGACCACTGTTTGGGAGGGATGGTTATATTGTGTATCTGGAATGAATTTTAGGTCTCTACGTCCATCCCATGGGGAATGGGAGCAAAAACAAAAGTGTTGCGTTTATATTTTTGTTCAGTGTACTTTTCGGCTACGAACCCGAAACAGAACCCGTCGTATTAACCAGAGGTCCCTTTACTATGGTTTGGAGTTGCGGACCTGTTTTATATATGGGCGGAAAACGAGAGAATGCAGAACTGAAAAGGCTGATAAATGATTCATATGCTGGGCTCCAAGACTAAGCAATTTCTAAAAATAGCAAAATACATTCAGAATACCCCAGTGCTGTTTTGGGAGAAATGGAGTAACCATCTAGTATAATGTAAACCAGAAAATAGAACAAAAATATCGCCTGGTCTGACAAGTCTTGGTTTCTATTGCAAGATTCAGATGGTAGAGTTACAATTAGGAACAAATGAGACAAATGACTAAGGCCTCTGGAGCTATGTGTAAAAAGCTGAATGTGTGGTGTGTATTAGAGATGGACCGATCCGATATTACGTATCGGTATCGGTCCGATACTGACCTAAATTACTGGATCGGATATCGGAGAAAAATAAAAAATGTAATCCGATCCATTAAATATCACGAAAGCACCTCACAAAACTTGCAACACGCCGTAACTCACCTCAGAACGTTAGCACGTCGGAGCAGTATGCATCACGTGCGGCTGTGGCATGCGGGACCTGTCGTGGTCTGGATAGCATTTGGAGCTTCGCTAGCAACCCGGCATTTCATCTCCGACAAAGTTATCCCCGAGAGAAGTAAAGCAAGTGTGTAAGTCCATCTCTGAATGTTTGTAAAGCATTCCTGCGTTAAGCTTAACAAACAATATATGGAGCGACTGCCTCTTCTTGCTGCTACTTCAATCATGAAACTGTTTAATGATCAGCTGATCGGCTTTTCTGTCGCGAGTCCGTCTCTCTTGTTTGTTTTTGGCCCACTTTGCACCAGAAAGAGGAAACCAGCAGCTGAACAACAGCAGCACGTTTAAGCTTGATATGCTGTTGTTAGAATTTATTTAATATTACTTTCTACACCAGGATCTTTTTCTACGTAGCTGACGGCTGGTAACTGTACAGGGGCGGATCTAGCAAAGTTTAGCCAGGGGGGCCGATAGGGCATTAACAGGGAAAAGGGGGCACAAAGACATACTTTTCTTTCTTATTCTCATTTAAAATGTCTAGCTTTTAATAAATAATTATCTGACACCCAAAGTTTTAATTTGATGTAAAACGAATAGAAGTCCATTACTGTATATAGTAACCATTAAGTCTAATATATATATACCTAACTAATATATAAGCTATAGTACTAATATGTAAGCTATAGTACTTTTTCCTTTGGGAAGGTACCATCTGTGCAGTGTGCAATTTTGTTGAAGAAGGATGTTGAATCTATTTAATATTTCTTGAAAAATAATTGATTTCTGTGCATTTTTTTTTCACACTGCATCAAATTAAGGTTGATTACGTCGATTAAGCATCATGAGGTGGAGGGTGGTTCCCTATTTTTTATTTATTTATTTTTGTTGTTGCTGGGAATTTGCAACCCTATTAGTTAGGTTGCTTAATATTTACGCTAAGTACTCTTTAAAATACCAGAATAGGGAGGATGGTGTAGGTTTAAGTTTATTAGATTGATCAGTATTGCTGAACTATGAAATATTTTTTTTTTGCATACAGGTATAACAGAATAGCTTTAGTGTAGTTGTTGTTTTAAACTTGAGTATGAACTTATACAAAATGCAGCAAGATATTTAAAAAAACAGTTTTGTTGATTAAAACACACTATATCGGATTCATATCGGTATCGGCAGATACCCAAATTTATGATATCGGTATCGGACATAAAAAAGTGGTATCGTGCCATCTCTAGTGTGTATCACACAAATTGTCATCAGCAAATGTAAAGATGCAGTAAAACTACATTTAAACCTTACATTAGAAACATTCGTCAAGTTCTGACAGAGATTTCGGAAAAATGAAAAGGTAGAGCTCTGATATCACTTTGGACATAAATGAAGACAGAAAATCAAACTGCAGCAACATTTGAAGGATTACTGAAGTTGGGTGGGCTAGCTGGAATGTAATGGTGTGCTATGTGGTGGATAGCTACTAGAGATGGCACAATACCACTTTTTCATATTTTCAGTTCTTACCCTCTCCGACTAAATCGGTTTCAGTTATGTACTGAAATATAAGAATGGACATTAGACGGTTCTTTCAAAGAAAAAACTCAGGTAAATGTTATTTTATATATTATGCTTTGGATGTTGTTCAGTATATTTCTATGCAAAACAAGAGGGATTTCAGTACACAGCAGGATATTCACATTTGTAACCAGATATTTACATACACTTTAGGGAGAAAACATAAAACATTTTTACTGTACAACATCAATTTAGAGTAAACTTTTGTTTTAGATAAATATCGAAATATCTTTTGAATTAGTTAAATGTCAGAATAAAGAGAGACAGAGCTGTCTATTTTTTATCACTTTGATCAAATTTAGGAGTACATATACACTAAGTTTGTTAATGTCATGGTCCTGCGACCATGACTCAGTGACTTTATGTTTATGTACTTATTGTTATTACTTTCATTATTATTCATGGCTGTTTTGGGATGGTTTGTGTTTGGGATTTTAGACACTGGGTTCTGGGTTTGTGCTCCCTCTGTTGGTCCCTGGTGTTAGTGTTCCCCTGTCTCGTCAGGTTAATCAGGTCCAGCTGTTTCCCCCATCTGTGTGTGATTTCCCAGTGTCTCTTTGTGTATTTATAGCGTGTGATTTCCTCTGCTCCTCGTCGCGTCGTCTGTATTCCTACCTGGTGTAATCCTCTGCGTGTTCTCCCTGCTGTTCTCCCTTGATGTTCAGGTTTGCCACTCCTCTGTGTAGTTTATCCCAGTTTAGTTTCGTCCTTAGTTCTGTTTGCCATCTCCACTTTGTGTTTGTTATTAACAATAAATCACCCTCACATCTGAATAAGTGCTGCATTTTGGGTCCTCCTTCCACTTTCCACACAGCCGCTGCCCCGGACCGTGACAGTTAATTAATAAGAAAACTCCAGACGATTCCATTCTGAGCTGAAGAAGCTTCTGATAGGTTAGTAGAGTCCATGTGAGTAAATTGGTGGCACACCTGTGGATGCATATAAGGCAAAACACAGAGCCTGTTTCTTTGACATGGGGAAATCAAGAGATTTCAACCAAAACACCAGGAAAAGAACTGTGGAGCTCCATAAGTGTGGCTCAATTTTGAATACAATTTGGTGCTATTTGCAATTAAGAAATACAGATAGTTTCTCTCTTTACTCTTAAAGTTAACAAATATGTTTTTTATATTTATCAATCTAAAAAAATAAACATTTAGTCTGATTTGATGTTACAATTAAAAAAGTGTTTGTGTTTTGATCTGAAGAGTACATAAATATGTGGTTTCAACTGTATATTTGATGATTGTCAGCACAAAGAGGGAGAGAGAGTAACAGAGAGGGAGATGGAGAATGAGGACAGAACAGAGCAGGTGAGACATACATGTTAGTCAAATGGTTCTTTACCAAAAGTATCACCGTATCATAGGTCCTCATGTATCTCGTACCTAGTGTTTCTTTTTAGGTTTGCTATTTTTCAAATTCTATATTTATTAAGTTATGCAGGCTTGTATGCACAACAAGGCTAAATAATTATACAAACTTTTCTCAATCTAAATAGTGTACTTTGGTAGAATTAAAAAAACAAGTGTAGTGCAGGTCTATGATGATTTTTAGTGCTACTATCATCTAGTTCTGATTCTGATTCTGTCTTGGTTAAATCCTAAGTAGTCCTGATTTTGAACTGTTGTAGTCCTGTTTTAATTCCGGATCAGTTTAGGGGTCTGGTTGAATTGGGGTTTAGTCCTCGTGTCTTGATACAGCCCCGATTTTGTTCTGCCTTGCTGCTTAATTAAAAAACTAGTTTAAGGTGTCCTGCACATGTGATATATATTTTTCCCTATAAGAAGTCATTCTTTTTTGAACCAAACTCAAAACAGAGCCTATTAATCTTTCAGTCATTTCTAAAAAAAAAAAAAAAAAAAAAAAATCCCACATGCATACTACCCTTTAGGGCTAAACCCCGGGTGTTTCAAATGTCTTCCACTGCAACCCCTGTTTTCCTAACCAGAAGCGGGGTTCAATACACGTGCACGACTCATTCGTGACTGGGATTGGCCGACAGCCCTTCGCTAAGTCCCGCCTCTCGCTTTACGTCAGCAGTGTCTGTGGAGGACTGCAAGAGCGGACGGAGAGCCGCACTGCACGCTGACAAGCCAGGACAGGGCGAGGCGGCGGTCCCGGTGTATGCCCCCATCCATCATCGCTATGGGAATTACCACAGCGTTGTCTGTGAAGCAGACCCTCACCTCGCATCTAAAACCGGTTCACCTGGAGACACAGACTATAAAACACTGCAGTGGAGACTGTCGCTGCTCAGAGCCGGGCTCAGCTTCTCTCCTCCGGTAAACTGAGGAGGACGATGATGATGATGATGATGACTAACATCTATAGATGAGAAGTCTTTCTCAGGCCGTCACCTTGGACCTCTGCTCGACCTTCATCTGTATACTCTAAATGAGGACCATGCCTGCCATGTGTGTATCCGCAGTGGTGAGTACATCCCATTTCAATTCACCTCCGTGCATGTTTTTCTTTCTTTCTAAGTACTGCTCTAGCAGGTTCTTCATTTAAAGGGCCAGTGCCTGTTTTTTTGCCCCCTGCTCTGATTCAACTTAAAATGAATTATCCAAATTTCTTTAAGAGTTGACACGTGAAGAATTTATTTCGTTATTTTTTCACTCATTTATTATTTTTTCAGTTCAACGTTTGAAAACTGTGTCACGAGTCTCAGTCAGTGGAAAGATGGAGAAAGAAATGCCACTCAACAGTCTGTTGTTTAGCCCTGTTGCACTGCGAACAATTAAAACGTCAGTCAGCGGAGTTTAAACTGATAGGTTTTTGTCACAGCTGATAAAGAATATGGCTCTAGATATTTAAACACACAAACAAATAATTAAATAATTTAAAACTGTAAAAAAAAAGTAATGGTTGTTTTACAAATGTTTTACAATTCCACTTGATTTTCATTTTAAAAAGTCAAAGTATTATTATTATTATTATTATTATTATTATTATTATTATTATTATTATGGCCATCACTCAAGTTTTAGGGATGGGTGAGCTGATGTTTTCATGCATTTTAATATAGTTAGTGTCATCATTCCAGCCTTCGGGCAGATGAGACTGTGCCTTTGTCTCCTCCCAGTCATGTTGACATGTGCTAAAAAAGAGTGAAGTGTTTCCCTCAGTAGACATCATACTTATTTCATCAGGGCAATTTTATGGAGTTCATAGCTTCGTGCTTGGTGTATTTCTAGCGTTTAAAAAAATAATTTATTTGAAAAAAAAAGCTTTTGCCATGATTATATATTATATTTGATTTTTATTTTCAAACGATTTAAAGCTTTAAACCCCTGCTTTACTGCAGTGGTTAATGCATGTGACTAAGGGGTAATAACAATTTAACATCTCCACTAGGAGTTTCAAACAAGCAATTAAAAAGTACCATCTGCTATGATCTACTGCAATGCAATATAAAAGGTTTGGAGCATGCTGGCAGGACTAACACACAATTTATACTTAACACTACTGCATGGCTACACCTCTTTGCAAGGGTCTGTCTGTGTGATGTTAATGGTGTCATCTAATTATCTCCATAAGAACTGATTTGTGTGGACCTTACACGTGTTAGGCTACAAACACTGTCAGCTGCATTCTGTCTATTATATATCTATTTATGCATTTTTTTAAAAAAAGTGTCCCAACAAAAGTGAGATCAGGTTTAGTTCGAGTTGTTGCATGAAACTTTAGTTGTTGCTTTGAATTTGCCAGTTGCCTGTGTCATGTCATGTTGCCTGTTGGAAAACAGACAGACAACTGCTAGGGTAATGGCATGTTTTACAATGTATTGCATTAGACTAGTCTGCAATGGATGATGTAAAGTACAGATACAACTTCAAATCCTGGGTTTGGTCATTAATAAACATGCTCAGGTTTTGGGTTTCACTTTTAAGCTTTTATGCTTTTTTTCTTCTTTACAACATATTTTAAAATAAGACCACAGCCAATGTAAAAGTAAAATCTCTAAAATGTATAAAAAGTAAAGCCAATGCAAAGTGCCTTAAACACGTTTTCTGTTTATTGGCCACCAAGGTTTGATGCTTAGCAAAAAACTTGCAATGGAATCTTATAGAAGTCTATAGGAAAATGGCTTTCTGCCTTTATCCATGGAAACACTTTCCTACTTAACTTATGGGCTCAGTAAATTGTGCATTTATGACACGCCCCTTTCTCATCACATCTAGTTTCAAAAGACCAGGATGTGAAAACTGTGAAAACACTCAGCCTGATGCTTCAAAACATGAGATTATAAATCATTGTCCAATAGTGAATGATATCACAAGAAATTCACCTTGTATGATACTAGAGACAGTTTAAGAGAGAGGCATGGCATGTGAAAAGTCAGACATTAGCAAAGATGGCAGTGACATACAAAAAAATAAATAAACACTTTTAATTATGTAATTTTCCATTTTGTTCTGCGGTGATGTTAAATGGAATCCAGCCATTAATAATATCATGACAACTAATTAACTTCCTTGAGCAGTTATTTTGAAGCATTTTCTAAATTAACTAGTGGCCATCCACCAGCTCCCAGAGAAGAGTTGTGTAAACAAGTCGTGTGTGAATATTATTCACACTCACCTTTTTTTAATGCAGTACAGACTGCGTGTTTTCACAGGATGAATTTGTGGAATTAATGTTTTTGGATCATACTTGATTTTTCAGATTGTTTGGACGCAAAAAACAGATCTGACCAACGAGAACATTTGGTGCGCTCGTAGTTCAAACGTACATTGGTACTGAACATACAACGATATATAAATAGTTAAATATTACTATTTTACATCAGACCCGAGATCAGATAGAATCAGTTAGAACCTGTTGTGGTCCCAACTCTGTCACGAAAAGCTTAAACTGACCCACTGACATCCTAAAATATGCACAAAAGTGTTATAGCTTTAACTCATGGATCAAACCATGAACTTCTCCCTGGTGCTGCCTTCTTGTGAGAATTGGATGAACCATGAATCTCTGTTTTTTTCTTTTTCAGGACCGGCTCATCATCACTTTACATTTTTTCACAGTGCATTTTTCGAGGACAAATTTTTCTAAACACTCAATGCTGCTGATGTTTCTATATGTTACCCAACAAATTTGCATCCAAAATTTCGGGATTCTGTGACATTTTTTCACTAGGTGGCCTTTAGGGTTCAGCTTTAGTAGGGTTAGGGATAGATTGAGAAACGAGAACAAATTCTGTTTGTGTATGCCAACTAAAAAATCCATACTTCAATTGGCATTAATAGCATCCCCAGGCTTCTACCTTTCTACCTATAAAACCCGGAGAGCAGTCAAATGGTGGAAGTGGAAGCTAAATTGGCTAGTCATTCATATGTATATTAGGTCGTTACCTAGGAATTCTGGAGGGAGGGGAGTGGGGGTGAGTGATTGAGGGGGTGGGGGAGTGGAGTGTTTCAGTTTGCCATCTTAGGGAGAAATCAACACATGTCCTTTGTATGTCCTTTGTTGCTGACATTTATTGATGAAAACTGTACAAAAAACCAACCATTTGTACACATATTTACAAATAATGATAAAAAGTGAGTGAGTACATTTCAACATTTTCAGCAATCACTCACAATCCTGGCACTGCCACGGTATCTGTCGTCTGCATTTACCACATGTGTACCTGTAGCAGTGAACACATCGCACAGTGGCCTGATTTTTTTTGCATCTGTGTACTTGGATTTTAGGTCGCAAGCCACCCAAAACTTGATCCCAAACTTGTCAGGTTTACTTGCAATATACTGCAGGAAACAGCACCGAGTCTTTGATGGGAAAAGCTGTTCATCAACGGTGATATGTAGACCAGGGTTGTAGCACGTGATGCAGTTGGTGACAAATGATCCCCACACACTGGAAATTGCAGCGAACTTATCAGTCTTTGCTCGATCACTGCGGGTGGACTTGTCATCAAAGCGTAGGTGTTGCATGATGTCTTGGAAGCGGTTTCGTGCCATAGTTCCAATTATCTGTGGGTTTCCCAGGTTTGCTGACCAGCAGTCATTTACCGATGGAACCCTGTAAACCCCCCGCAAGATGACAATTGCAATAAATGCCATTAGTTCAGGGAGGTCCATGAACCAATGAACATGCACTGCACTTAGCCTAATCCTTCATTGAAGAATCTTCATTGAAGAATCCTCTCCAAGGAAAGAAAATTCATCGCCCTGAAGAATCCTCTGGTGTACGGACCTCCTCTCCAAGGAAAGAAAATGCAGAGAAGACTCACTACTCAGCAGGCGTTGGAAATGATCCTGACGGAAGTCGACCCTTGTGACTCGGATGGAGAAGACCTAGCAGTTCAGCCGGATTCGGACTCAGAGCTGTCTGATCAGTCTTCCGGTTAGTTTCATTTCATGTTATTTCCTTTTTCATTTCAAACAAGTAAGTGGATGTAGTTAGTAAGTAAGATATTTCAGACATTATTCTGATACAGAGGAGGAGATACTGGAATTATAATTAGTATCTATGCATGCATTTGTGATTTTGTTTGACCTTCCCATTTTGCTCACAATTTGAATTTGTTCACACTGCAGATGAGGAGACTGCTTCTCCACCGAAAAAGAGAGCTTGTTTGGGGACTGAGACAGCGAAAGATGGCACAGTGTGGCGTGAAGAACATGTGGGGACCCGTCTCCCTTTCACCCCAATAGAACCGTACGCTGCAGATGGAGAGCCAACGGCTAAGGCCAGGAGAAGTATCTCGAGTCGCCTTCAGAGCTTCCTGTGTTTCGTCACTCTTGACATGCTTTGTAGCATTCAAGAATGGACTATTCAACATGCACAGCAAACGGAGCATGTTCATTGGTTCATGGACCTCCCTGAACTAATGGCATTTATTGCAATTGTGATCTTGCGGGGGGTTTGCAGGCTTCCATCTGTAAATGACTGCTGGTCAGCAAACCTGGGAAACCCACAGATAATTGGAATTATGGCACGAAACCGCTTCCAAAACATCATGCAACACCTACGCTTTGATGACAAGTCCACCCGCTGTGATCGAGCAAAGACTGACAAGTTTGCTGCAATTTCCAGTGTGTGGGGATCATTTGTCACCAACTGCATCACGTGCTACAACCCTGGTCTACATATCACCATTGATGAACAGCTTTTCCCATCAAAGACTCGGTGCTGTTTCCTGCAGTATATTGCAAGTAAACCTGACAAGTTTGGGATCAAGTTTTGGGTGGCTTGCGACCTAAAATCCAAGTACATTTGCAATGTCTTCCCATATCTTGGCAAGGACCCCAGTCGTCCCACTGGGGAGAGACTTTCTGAAAATGTAGTAATGAGGCTGATGGAACCATTCCTAGACAAGGGCAGAAATGTTACCACGGACAATTTCTTCACATCGCTTTCACTTGCGCAAAAACTTCTTGGACGGAAAACCACCATCCTCGGCACAGTCAACAAGATTCGCAGGG